ATCTTTCCTGGCTGGTGGAGAATATTTGACATAATAGTCAAATTTACCAGAAGGTTGACCAAGAAGACTAACTTCAAGATCATAGTCTTCAAATCAGGAATAAAGATCTGTTTGACTGCAGCGAGCTTTCTGTTTTTTCTGGTTGAAATAGTTTCGTCTTGGAACATAATGCTCATCGATTTCCCAAATAGGATCATCACGGCATTCCGAGCATTGGCAGTCAAGATCAAATGGAGTGTGACCAGTGACTAGATCATATTGATAATAGATAGGAGCACCAGATTGTTGAAATGAATGAATGGAAAGTCCAGGTTCCCGTACTGGTGTAGTGGGTATGACCGGAGTAATCATGAATTGAGTTTGTCGAAAACTCAAAGGTGGAGCACTGGGAGTTGCTAGAGACTTAAATCTGATAGTTGTTGTTTCGTCCTTGTTATCATGCATGGTAGATTCTGTAGAAACCACCAGAGTTTCTATTTTGTTAAGAGACTCATAACTCGTCACCCAAGAGTCGGGTAACAATTTAATTAAATCATCTCTGGAAATTTGCCTGGGAATATTGATGCAGTAAGGAGTATTCTGAGTCAACAGTAAGGAGCAGTGCATCAGTAGTCGTAGGGATAGCGAGATCAAGAGCATGGTCTTGGATTCGCCAAACCATTTGATAATGCAAAGTAGCTGCAATACTCCCTAGATTTAAATCTACACCAACGATCTATAATTGAACTTTAAGAGCCTTGGAGCAATGAACATCAGAGAGAGACATGTTGAAATTAGGAAACAGTGTCATAATGACTGTCCCAGCATTCAAAGCTGTCTGTGCTGTCCCTATACAAGCATGTTGATATTGGACAAATCTGGTGTCCAATAAAGCAATTCGAACAGAGACTGGGAGTCCTTTTCTACCATTATAACATAGAGCGAGCCGGATAGCGCCAAAGCGTACATGAGAGTATCTGTCACGGATCCATTGAGTAATGGATTCTTGAGGGATTTCCAAAGTAACATATCGTTCTTGGGTTGTGGCTAGAATTTGACACTTGTCAAAAGTACTAGTCTGGACATACTCTTTGACTGGCTTTTTGGAAGGTCGGACAAGAGTTTTAAAGGTTTTAGACAAAGAAGACGAAGACTTGGAAAACGCTGTATAAGGATTTACAATGGGAGGGATAGTGTCTTGGATTTTTTTATTTTCTGGGATATAAGATATTTCATACAAACTGTCTACCTTAGAAGAAGATCTAGATAAGCTAGTATTTATGAGAGCAATAAACGTAGATAAAGCTGAAGAGGATTCCATGTGCGTAAGTTCAACCTCTTGGATGTGTAATATCACCTCAAATGATAAGGATAGCGCAAGACCCAAATATTAAACATAAAATAAAACATAACTTATTAAGCAGAGAAACAAAACATAACCAAAACTTAAAGGAGCCAATATCCGAGGGGAGGTAATCCTCCGCACACGCAGAGATTGGAACCAATAAGCAACTTAAAGAAGCCAATATCCGAGGGCAGGTAATCCTCCGCACACGCAGAAATTGGAATCTATAAGAGATTGGAGCCAATATCCGATGGCCAAGGAACAGACACAAGAGATTTGTTAAGATTCACGGCCCAGCTGAAAAATGTTATGAAGGAAGATATTATAAGGTGCGTTTGGTTCATTATTTTGGATAGGATTTTTGGAATAATATTGGATAGTTGAATAGGGTTATGATTACAAGAATAGGATTTACAGAATATGTGTTTGGTAGAGTATTTTGACATTAATAGTTGTGTTAAATATTTGATTAATATATTTTTTTATAAATGATTTGTTAATATAATATTTTGTTGCATTTTCTTAAAATAATGTATCATTATATATATAACTTATCAAGTTACATTTTAATAATATTAAACATTTTATTGGTAATTTTGTCACCCGTAGATATTAAAAAACAAAAACTCATATTAATTTCAAGTACTAATCCAACTGTTTAAAAACATCACATTAATACATATATGACAAAAGTACTAATTATCAACCCTTACAATCATTATTACACGTATACTCCATTAACAACTACGACATGGTCCATTGTGCTGCCCACAGTGCATTCGTTATGTTATCTCGTACAGTCGTCATGTTGTCTATAATAACTTGTTGCGGTTGACTCGGTCCTTCTCCATTTCGGTCATATTTTGCCCCGTTTAGACGATCACAATATACTGAAATGGTGAAGTGAGGAAGCAATGAAGAGGCTGCTAATGCAAACTGAAATGCTGAAGTGAAGAAGTTGCTAATGTAAATTGAAATGGTGAAGTGAAGAAGCAGTGAAGAAGAAAAGTGAAACCGTGCGTAATGTAAACTGAAAAGGTGAACAGGTGAAGTGAAGAAGTGTGAAAGAAGAAATGACGAACCCGTGAAAAAGGAGGACTGTAAAAAAAAAAAAAAAAAAAAATGGTGAAGAATCGTGAAAGAAGAAAAGAGAACGCGTGAAAAAGGAAGGCTACAAAAAAAATTCAAATGGTCATAAAGCTGTCAGAAAAGTGTCTGAATAAATTTTTCAAGATTCTGTTGTCTAAATAATGAACCAAACGCTATCTCCAAAATCTGTTTCAAAATATGGATAAAAATATCCTACCAAACGCGCCCATAAATGCCCCTCTTTCAATCCCTATTCGACCCTCATCTTGATTGCCACGTGGATGAATCGACCAATAAAGTTATCATGTAAAAGAAAAATAATGGCTCCGTTTGGTTCAAAATTTGGGGGTTTTGGGAAAAGTTTTTTGAAAAAAGTTAAAAAAAAGTTGAATTGGACGGGTATTGCGATGTAAGATTTATAAATTAATAAAATACCGTATATATTTATTTTTTTACAAAATACCCCCTATAATAAATCATTAAAAGTTAATAAAAATACCCCTAACCCACCCTCAAACACCCCCAGTTGGCCACCACCACCGGAGGTGGCCGAAGTCACCTTATGGGCACATGACCGGCTGGATCTTACCGGTCATACGCCGCTATGGCCTTTTCCGGCCAGATCCACGGGCCAGATCTGGCCGTCAACCGCCAGATCTGGCCGTATTTGCTCTCAACGATGGCCAATAAACGGTCGTCGTTGATGGTCAATGACGAACGTTTGTTGGCCGTCGTGACCGACTGTTACGGCCAAAGATCTGGCCGTCAACGGCCAGATCTTTGGCCTTAGATCTGGCCTTTTTCGGCCAGATCCACCGTGGATCTGGTCGGAGAAGGCTAGATCGGCGCACTACCGGCCAGATTCAGCCGGTAGTGCGCCATCCTACCAGATTCCGGCCATTTTCCGGTGGTGGTGGCCGGAATCTGGTAAATGTGGATTATTAGGGTATTTTTGTAATTTAAAAAAAAATATTTAGGGGTATTTAATTAAATTATCAAATTTAAGGGGTTTAAAAAAAGTTGAATAATATTGGGAGTAGTATTCCCAAAAATCTGAGTTTTTGGGTATTTTACTGTTTAACTTTTTTGGGAATACTAAAAGTAGTATTCTCAAAACTAAAACAAACACAGCCAATACAATTATCAAAAGCAACATATCGAATTTATGCACCAAATGATATGACAAAATCCTGACCATTAATTAATTATGAATTAATATCAATCATTGGTCAGAATTGTGTTATATCATTCGATGTATTATTTCAGTGTCATCCTTTTCATAACTGCAACATTAGTCTATGTAAATTATTTGTTTTTACTTTATAATGGTAATATGATTGAGGAGATACGATGAAATATTAGGGGAAGGAGGATAAGACTGTGAAAAGAGATGCACATGGGCCCCCATTCCCAATTGATATGACACGAAAGAAGAAATCTCCAGAACTTAACAGAAAAAAATAAAATAAAATAATCTCCAGGTACTTTTGAATGCCCTCTCTAGTCTCTATTGGCTTAAATAACCTTCAAAATATCTGGAAGAAAATTAAAGAGAGAAACGACGTCTTTATCCTAATACTATCATTTGTCATGCATGAACTGACACATACAATGTTCAATTAATGAGCTTCATTATGTTTCCGGGTCCAGACCATCGTTCTAGATGGAAATTTATATATAATAATTATTACATAATTTCTCTCTTATTTGCACAACTGCAGGCATTTGTATTAGTATCTAAAAGCAATAATGGAAGCATAAATCATGCTGAGGTCCGTTTTACTTGGACAATTCTGGTATCCTCTTCGTCTTCTCATATGTCTACACATGTCTCTGTGGTAAAAGTTAGGGGTTTTAAAAAAAGGTTAACCCATTTTTTGCACCAAATCGATTTTTTAGTTTGAAAATTTTTTCAAACCAAAATCGAATTGGTTTCACAAGAAAACCGATTTTGCCTTTTTTCTTTTATAAAACTTTTTTTTCCTAAATTAAATTATAAATATAAATAATACATATTCAAATAAAAATTAAACATTCATGCATATCCATTGTTCAGTACTAACAATACATTAAAAATATTATTATTTAATATATAATATATTATATTATTATTTTTTATTTAATATATAATTTTTATTTAATATATATATTTGTAAAACTGGTTCAAAAAACCGGTTTCGACTAATCACTTTTTATATTTTTTTGAACCGATAACCGAACCAAAACTTTAATTTTTTGAATTTTTTGAATCGTAATCAAACTATTTTTTGGCTAACTGATTTTTTGATTCAATTATCGATTCAGTTCGATTTTTACATTTTTTTGAACACCCGACTAGAAATCACTAAAATTTCAAATCTGGTGCAGAGATCTGAAAATGATCAAGAAATATTAATTATTGATCTTAATTTTGATTAACAACCACGTGAAAGACAAGGAACAATTCTACTAATGCTCGTTAAACAAAAAGTGAGATTCAGTAAAATATGTCACATCTTCAACAACCGTTAAAGCTCCCCATTTACACTACCATCAACTACTATATATGAAGAGTTCTTTCCTGGCAGAATTATCAGGGTCTAAGATTTTTCCATATCGATCACCTTCAATATTAATTATGGTTTCGATTCATGTTGAAAGTGCTAGTGAGCTTCTTGAAGCTCAAGCTCAAGTGTGGAATTATTCATTGAACTATGTAAATTGCATGTCTATGAAATGCGTCATTCAACTGGGCATTCCAGATATCATCCACAAACATGGCCAACCCATGACTCTTTCCCAAATAGTTTCTGCACTCGGCGTGAACCCAAATAAAGGTCACGGCATTCACCGTCTTATGGGTGTCTTAGTTCATGCCGACTTCTTTTCTCAACGAAAAGTCAGCAAAATTGATCACCAAGAAGACAAGTATTTTCTCACACCCTCTTCTCGACTACTCCTTAAGGATGCACCCTTCAGGGCTGCACCATTTGTGTTTCTTATACTTGATCCACTCATGGTTAGTCCCTTCCATTCCTTGAGCGCTTGGTTCAAGAATGATGATTCCACACCATTTGAAACAACTAATGGGAAAAACTTTTGGGGTTGTGTGGCTGATGAACCTAAATTTAAAAACACTTTTTATGATGCCATGGTCAGTGACTCTCAACTGGTAGCGAGAGTTTTGATTGAAGACCATAGAGAGGTGTTTAAGGGGCTGAAGTCTTTGGTTGATGAGGGTGGTGGCAATGGAACTGTGGCCGAAATCATAGCCAATGCTTTTCCAGAGATTCAATGCACTGTTTTTGATCTCCCACATGTTGTTGATAATTTGCAGGGGACTAAGAACTTGAATTTTCTTGGAGGAGACATGTTTAAGGCAATACCTTCGGCTGATGCAGTCTTACTCAAGGTACACAATTATACATAATTTTCCATTAATTTAGTTTCTTCATGCTTAATTTGAAATCAATCTTAATTAGTTTTTTGTTTTTTCATATAGTATGACATACACACTATATTATTCTTATTTGTATCCAGCATTCCTACCCAGGGGCGAATCCAGCCCCTTTGAGGGAAGGCCCGGGCCTACCCTTAAGTTTTAAAAAAAAAATTATTAATATATAGTCCCACAAAATTGTTATTAATATATATACCTAGGTCCACCCTTGGATTTTAAAAAAATGAGAATTATTATACATATATCTAGGCCCACAAAAAACTTGTTATTAATATATATATTCCAAACCCACATCATATTAAAAGTTTAAAACTATTTCCACTCTTCTTCCGACTCCACATGTTTTTTATGATTTAATCCCAAAAATTGTTTACTATTTCATTCTCTCTTTCTCTTCCTCATGTTATTCGATCTTAAAACTTTTGAAAACCGAAATTGTTGAAGCTTTCACTACTCAAGGTGTCACAATTAGCTTTGTTTTTGGTTTTATCAGTTTTAGATATATGTATTACTCATTTCAATTTAGTTTATTTTAGGGTTGAATCATTCTTTTTTTTTTTTTTTTTTTTTTTTTAGGTTTTAATTATAATTTGAGGGGAAAGACATGGATCATGTGAGTTTATTTGTGTTTTGTGCCTGAGAAGAACTTGCTTTCCCAAATTAAAACTTTAACTATATTTTAAAACACGTTATTCTTTACCCTTCACCCACCATTTTCCTACATTTCAAACGTCACCGTTCTGCTAATCAAATAAATAAAGAAATTTGAGTTACTATCTATGTATATATCAAGAATTTTTTTTTTATTAATTCATATAAAAGTCAACGCAATGTTGATTTGATTTAAGTTTGGTTGACTTTAGCTTATGTAGGTCTGGTCAAAGTCATAAAATTTATATTATAATCTTTGGAAACAAAAAAAAAAAAAAAAAAAAATTGAACTTAAAAGAAGGTTTTGCTTAAGGTTTACTTAACACATTTACTCAAAATTTTGCTTCTCATGAATTTATTCAAGTAGGAAAGTATTGCGTTATTGCATTCTTTTCTCTTAAATTCTTGATATTGTATTATTTTATTTGCTTAAGGTTTGGTGATTTTTTTAAAGTTTTTACTAGTTGTTTAGCAAACAATGACGAAGCCGCGGAGGCCCCCCTTGACAAAAATACTAGATCCGCCACTATTCCTACCCTACTAATACCATATCAAATTAAATTGTAGAGAACTACTCTCATAATTCATAGCATAACATTTTCACAACTAGCTATGTTGATTTGTGTTATGCTTGGGAACATAGGGCTGACGTGGGGCTCGGTTAAGTGCGAAAGGTCAGATCTCGGGAAGAGTTTACTGCCATTCTAGCACAGCTGCGTCGTGTGATCCTGGTTGCACCCCACAGCTTGCTTCCGTTAGAATAATGGGTGCACGTCAGGTCAGCAAGGAGTTGTGATGATCCCGCGTGTCCAATCCCTGCAGCAAATCACGTGAATTACTCTAAATGAAGGATTTGTACGGATCATCCCACCAACTTACAGATTCAGTGATCATTACCTTAAGGCATCCCATTATAAAATGGGAGCTTCTCTCTCATTAAGGGGATTCGCACATTTTACTCTTAACAAAACTCTCTCTCTCTCTAGAAAAGACAGTCTTTAATACCTTGTATCCTCAGTGTAAAGTCAGTCGTCCAAAGCGACCTGACCATTATCATTAATAAAAACATCAGTGGACGTAGGATTTGCTTCCTTAGCATCCGAACCACTTTAAAACTCCTTTCTCACTGCATTTAGTGTCATTTTTCCTTTTCATTCACGTGTGTCTTTTGGGCCAACCCAACATTTCACACGTAAGTTTTGTTGGTGTCAAAATCATGCATCAACAGTTTGGCACTAGAAGGAGGGCTGGTTTAGTGTTCATCCTTCATCAGGAGAATCTCCAACCTTCTGGTCCTACAGCAACAAATGGCCCGCCAACCAGAACCTGAGCAAACCAACCAGGGTGCTGAGGGGCTCCCCCAAGTTTAAGGGGACACCTCTTCCAGAAAACCTTTAGCCCCGCAAAATGCTGCAGGAGATATCCCGTCAAGTTCATAACTTGACCCTGTTAATAGAAGCTACCTAGAGAGGTTTGACAATACTGTCCAGACGGTCAACCGAAGGCTGGACCATTTGGACCAAGGCGTGCCATCCAAGTTAGCAACGGCGGTGCAACCGCCAAAAGCGCCTGCAGGTCGCGCGAAAGCGCGGCAAAGGGAAATAGCCCGTGCCGCCAGCACTGCAGCGCATAGACAAAAAGGTAAACAAGTGGCAAAAAGCAAGCCCACGGGCTCCAAAGGGCTAACAAATTTCGACCGCATCCCGAGTAGAATACCAGTCTCGTTGAGATTCGGTGAAAGGATGCAACCCGAGCTGTCCCATGCCACATCGCAAGAGCACACCCATAAAAGTGCTGGTTGGGGCGATTCCTATCACCACCAACAAAACGATCCTAATCGTCATCGTGCTAGAGGGTCCCACACTTCACGGGGCGGTTCTTACCACCGCAAAAGTCGTAAAAATACCCCGCACCTTTCATCGCCATCACACGCCTCTAGCCGGCATGTGCCGAGAGTGGCCGAAACCGCCGGCCGAGGTGAAAAGGAACCCGACCTTTGGACTTTCCTCATCCGTAATCGCGAGGGTCGAACTCGCATGGGTGAAAGCAATCCCCAAGCGGCTCCATTGCTGTAAATTGAGGAGCTATAGTGAGCTTTAGACAGACTACGAACTCAGCAAAACGAGCAGGGGCTAGTCGTATCTGCGTCCCCCTTCTCTACAGAAGTGTTAGCCGCTCCTCTCCTACCAGGATTCAGGATGCCCGACATGCGGGCGTTTGATGGGAACTCCGATCTGCAGGATCATTTGTATGAATTTAACGACCTGATAGAGCTTCACCAGGTCTCGGATCTAGCAAAATGCCATTGTTTGGCAGTGACTTTGACCTCCCATGCCAAACGGTGGTTCAGGTTGCTCCCAGCGGGATCGATCAGTTCATGGCCTCAGATGAGCACGATGTTCCTAAGGTATTTTCAAGCAAATCGGAAGTTCTCGATGCCTTTGAGCTACCTTAGCAATATAAGGCAAGAAAGGGATGAATCCCTCCAATCCTACATTGACTGTTTCCACAGAGAACTCAACAAGGTGGCACATACTGCTGAAGAGTCTGTTCGGACTCTCATCATAGCTGGAGTCCGTCCACAGACAGACCTATGGAAAGAATTACAGGCTGAGGACGATGTTTCCCTTACTGGATTCTATAATCTCGTAGAGAAATACCTCTGAATAGAAAATTCAATGGCGGCACTCTGCCGTCACGACCACGATGCTTTGGGCTGTGCACCTGGTCGGTGAGATAGTAGAAGAGCTTATTGCAGGGGAGACATAGACGATCAGCGAAGAGGGAAGAAACCTCGTTACGAGCCTAAAAAGTCCTATGCTCCCGTCCCTCATCGCGATCACGACAGAAACCAATATACTCCACTAAACGCATCTGTATCGGCTATTCTTGATAAATCCGAGGAGGCCAGCCTGGTCGGAGAGCCCGAGCCCATGAAAACTCCAACGATAGCCAGAAACAATAAAAAATATTATCGCTATCATCGGGACAATGGGCACCATACAGATGAATGCCGAGCTCTCAAGCAGGCGATTGAAAACCTTATCAAGTAGGGACATTTCAAGGAGTATATTGATGACTTTGCTCCCTCACAAGAGAAAAATCAGGGGGACTCAAGTAAGAAGCGCCGCGATCAGAAAGGAGTGTACACCCTCAATTTAATTTTCGGGGGACCGCACTTCGCAGGAAACTCGCGAGGTGCCCAAGAAAGATATGCTTGGGAGGCACACCACGAGCCCATCTGAGCGATGCACGTAGTGCAGCGACCACAAAAGGTTCACCGGGAGGAGAAAATTTCTTTCTTCGAAAAAGATACAGCCTGGTTGCATCATCCTCACGAAGATGCCCTTGTGATAATGCCCCTCATAGGGCGCCATAATTTCTAGAGGATGTTAATGGATAACGGAAGTGCTGTGAATATCTTGTTCGCTTCAACTTTTGAAAGAATGAATTTGGACGAGGCAAACCTGAAACCTGCCTCGTTCCCTCAATATGGCTTCACAGGGGACCACCTGCTCCCCAAGGGCACGATCTCACTCCCAGTCACGTTGGGTGACTTCGACGAAGTAACCAGAGTAATTAAGTTCTTGGTAGTGGATTGTCCATCCGCCTTTAATGGAATTCTAGGGCGACCTCTGCTAAGACACTTCAAGGCGGTCACTTCAGTATACCATTTGAAAATGAAGTTCCCCACCCCGACGGGAATTGGGGAAGTTAGCGGGTCTCAACGCGCAGCTCGGGACTGCTATGTGAAAGCAGTTCAGATGGCGTGCAAAGGCAAAGGCACCTCGCGCGGCTATCACAACCAGACAATGGCGATCAGCTGGATAGAGCCACAGCCTGGCCTAGCCGAGGATAATATAAATCCTCGCATTCAGGGCTGCCCTTCCAGTGGGCCAGTTGAGGATCTGACTGAAGTACAGGTCGACCAAACCGAACCAAGCAGGGTGCTAAGGATCGATAAAAATCTCAATCCCCAGCTTGCTGCCGACCTAACCAGCTTCCTGAAGGAAAACATCGATGTGTTTGCATGGTTGCACGCAGATATGGTCAGGATCAGCCCGAATGTTATTTGCCATGCCTTAAACATCGACAGTGAAGCTAGGCCAGTTCGCCAAAAGAGGAGAGCGATGGACCCGGAGCGATATGCTGCCTTGAAGGTTGAGGTGGATAACCTCCTCCGAAATGGGTCCATCCGAGAAGCACTCTATCTGACCTGGGTTGCCAACCCAATTCTAGTAAAAAAGCCTAAAAACAAATGGCAGACCTGCGTCGGCTTCACCGACCTCAACAAGGCGTGTCCAAAAGATAGTTTCCCA